ACTGACTGCTTTAGGCAGCAATCATAGAAGTACACTGACACCTCCACAGCCGGCTCTAACAAGCTGCGAACTCTCCTTGTCAAAGGCAAAGTGAATAAGACAGTTGGAGCTGTATTGCTCTTGGGTATGCCTCTGGGCAGGATTTCTGAGAGGCCTGCACAACACTACATATTCGACAACACCACAGAGATTTCAAGATATGCAAATAAATGCATATTTAAAACTAAACATCTGTTTACAGTGTCATCCATATAACACCACTTACTTAGATGCCCCAATATCCTCAAGCCTGTTTTTTAATCCAGGTTATTAGAAATAACTGAATATTTTTTACATACATCTTAGGTTAAACAAATTAATGTGGCCAAAGATTTTGTATTAACCTTTTCCTCTTGAATCCCATCTGATAAGGAAGGCTATTTTCACTACAGGCTAGTTTTGAATAATCTTATACCACTAAAACAGTATAAGAATCATCTATCTGGAATTTCCTGAGCAGGATTACACATTTTGCCACTCTGGTAGCAAATCCTAAAAGGGTAATCTACCATTGGTGCTTGAAAATCCTGTCAGGAGAGACAGTCACCTCATTAATTTATTGTGTTTTGAGCTGTATTGGAAGATTCACTCAATATTTTTGCAAGTCTGATTCAAATGTAAGCATCTGAGGAATAAAAACCTGGCCATGACAAACCTGGAGAAACCCCCTGATGTTAAGGCTTCACAGCGATGCATGCTGTGAAGTATCAACTTGCAACCTGTATCTTAACTTTTCATGAAGTAAGGTTTGTGTCCCACGAGTTGGAGGCAGTCTTTTCTCTAGAGTTTTCATTTTAAACTCCTTTCATTCACTTACTTTCACTTACTGTTTAAGTCATGGAAAATGTTTCATACCAGATGCTACATTATATAAAACATCCATATTTCCTAGCAAATTATGGTTAAAGAGAAAATAAGAAACAGACCTAGATAGAATTAAAGGTATAAATGCTCAATATAACAAATTCAATGAGTTACACACAAAGCCTGGATTTTTATCATTTTCTTTCTTTGTGTGTTTCACAAGGGCTAAAATATCCACCAACCGTCTCCACCACTCTGTAACCGTCAATGCTTGGTGGTGGTCTGGGACTGCCTATTTACCCATGGCATCAACAATCACGCATAGAAGTGCCATGTCATTCAAATAACTTCCAACCTAACCTGAAAGTAAGTCCAGTTTAGTGAATGGGAAGGTAGCGATGTGGACTCTGGTTATTTTGTATCTTTCACAACATAGGATGAACACAGGATGCTTAACTCTTTCTCTTATGGAGAAAACCCCATGTTGCATCTCAAATGTTGTGAAAAGGACCATGTAACACCGAGCGAAGCAAGGGAGGTAAATGCAAATTCAAATCTCCACATGACCTTGGTGTTACAATGCCAGTCTGTTCACAAAGCTTTCCTGACTGACTTTTGCCCACCTGTGGGGAGCCAGGCACAGCAAAAGCACCTATTCAGGCCTAGCAGCTTAAGACATTTATATAACCTCTCTGGTTATAAAGTCTCCCTGTTATAAAAATCCCTAATTAAGACTGTTTGGCGTCTTTAAGCAGATTTTTCACTGTCGCCTGTTTGTCTGCTGACAATCAGTCAGCATCCGCCCAGCCACCGGACTTCAGAAGTGATCTAGAGGAATAAAAGGCCAGCTGCTTCGTTTTGTGAACTGAAATGGAAACAGCTCAGCTTATGCACCCGGCAGTGGAGGAGACAGAACTTCACGCACACAGCTTGTGATCCCGGAGTCTAGTCAGCCACAAGGGGTCACTGTTCTGCAGAAAGCTGAGTCATCCAGACCATTCACCCCAATCCATGGTTTCCTGAACCCCCTTAAAATGTCACAAATTTCTGTCAGGTTTCCCCACAGTCTTTGCAACACTGCCCAAATTATTTATACTATAAAGTAGTCTAAAAAAGGCAAAGCTTTTAAACAACAGTTAAAAAAATTCCATAAAATAGGGACCACTTCAATCAATTCGTCTGGAAGTGGCTGGAGCAAACTTGGAACAGATTTCATCTACTACCCAGGACAAAAGAGCATACAAAAAGGTTTTGAAATGATTTTAAAATCGTTTCATTTGAAAAAGAAATGTCAAAACACTATTTATGTATTCTTGCAAAGGCCATCCGAGTACCTTCAAAGCATATTGCAGTAATCTTAATGTGTGGAGTACTATACCTAATTAATTAAGAATGCAATATATAAAACAAGTCAATAACCAAACCAAATGCAAAACTGGAAAAAATAAATATAAACACTGTACTGACTTTTTCAGTACAGTGAACATTCAGTACCTTGAGATATTAAAATTTCTAAATAAATGCAATGTCAGAAATAAATAGAAAGGTTTGACAAAGACTAAACCTGTTACCACCAATGAGAGAGCTTGTCTCCATAGCCTATCAATCAGGGCTCACAGAAGTGCACTGCTGTGCTAACCAGGCAAGTTCCAGACTGCAAAGACCATATGGCAGCTTTGTGGATTTGCTGTAAAGGAGGTCAGAACATCCCACAGTGAAAACCTGAGATAACACACAGGTATGCATTTATGTTTACAACATTCAGCAGATATTTTGTTGCTGATAGATAAGATCTTTGCTTTAATTACATTTTCATCTAAATGGTTAAATGGTGGATGATATGTTATAAATGTCTATTACTAAACTAGGAAAGAAACACATGCAAAGGCATTTACCAATTTCTAGATTTTGTATATTTTTCTGTCATTTTCAGGGGAAAAATGACACTAACATTAAGAAGTGTAGAAGCATAACAACTAACTACTGCCATCTCTTTCTCCTCTCATTTGCCGTCCCAATAAAACCTGCATTTTCTAGAGAAAATGCAACAGAATTTCACAACAGACTGTGTAATAAAAATAATTTGAAAGGGCATCGCTTTGGCAATGAGAAAAAAAAACTAAAAAAAGATGTGAGAAAGTTACTTCAGGCTCCAATTCTTTGAATATCCATAGGCACAGAAGGGCACAGTAAAGACATGGTCACCTATCAAAACCGACAGGAGATGAATAAGAATTAGAGGCCCAAGGACAACTGTGACATCAGCTCTAAGCACCTCCAGGACTGTAAGGACAAGGACAGGACTAACTGGAGTTAAGGAAACCTCAGAGTACTATTTAATTTCATGGAGCAACACTGTCATTCCATGCAAGAAAGTCAAGTTTAACTGTATGCATCTGCTATCAGCGAGATGTTTCTGTATACTATCTCTCCCCTTGCCTCACAACTACCTGCTCCTGTCTGCTAGCATGTGAAGACATTGGGCAGCATCAGTGTAAATCAGTCATATACTATGACAGCTACTGTATATGGAGCCTGTCAGATTCTCTTTGTCCCATGGTGTTTGTTAATCCATTTACATAAATGAAATAATTAATTTAGCATTTGGGGTCGTAGAAGCTCCTTGCTATGATAGTTTACCTATAAACACAAAACTCACCTTGCGGTGCTAGATTTGCAGTCAAAACTGCTGTGTAGACAAAGTCGCCTTATTGTTTCCCTGTGCATCCTTGTATTTTCCAGTTCACATATGCACTGATAAAAAAGTATTGTAAATAAAGCAGCAACTATAACCTGTTTGGGGGACTTTTTTGCTTTATACAGCAAAATACGAAGGCAATGTAATTTAATTTAAGATTACAAGATTAGAATACTGCAATGGCTTACATACTAGGGTACTAAATAGGCTTCAGTATGTCTAGACTTCTGAAGCTTTTGTGCTAACTAAAACACAATATAACTCCTGTCCTGTGTAAATTGCACTGGCTCCCTGTCAAATTTAGGGTGGACTTTAAATATCTCCTTCCCATGTAAATGGTACCAAATGTTCTAGCTCTAGGTTATTTTAAGAATGTATTGCAGGTGTATAGTCCAGCCCTTAATCTGAGATTGCTGATTCAAGCATTCTTTTCCAAAGACCAGACCCTACACAGGTGAATGTGCCTTTTCTTTTACAGCACCATGTCTGAGGAGCTCATCGCTTCAATCCATTAATGTCTTTGGACACATTCAAAACTCATTTAAAATATATATAATTTCAGTATCACTTGTATAATATAACTTGAGATTAAATGATAATGTTGAGTTATTGGATCTCTTTACTGTGTAATGCAAATAAATTGTCCAGTTTTGGCCAAATTACTTATTTGTCCCACACCGTACACAGTGCCTTGTAGAAGCTTTCAGTCTCTGTCCCCTTTCGTTGAATCACAAATATGTACATGCTTTTAAAAAGTGAATATTTTAATCAGAACCTGAGTGCTCACACTAAATGCTTTTATGAGTAGAAGAAATTAAATGTCAGCAAGAACTGCAGATAATTCCCAAACAGTTACAAAAGTGCTCATCTTAAGCTTTCAAGTTTTGATTAAAAATAATATATATTTAAAATTGTGTAAACATCATTTGGAACTTTGACAAAATGGGACATTTTGTTGATTGAAAGGCAGTGGATACCTTTGCAAGGTGCTGTATTTAAGACTGCCTTTAACACTGCCTGGCAAAGTGCAACATGAATCAGAAATCCATTTATTCTTGCATGAATGCAGCTGTATTGACAGTAAAGTCTAAGAAAGCCCTCCAGTTCCAAATATAGAGAGGAATTGCACACAGTGCATAAGGAGGTAAATCAAACTGAAGGACAAAGCAGAAAGCCAAGATACTTTGTGATAAAAAATACAATTTGAAGGGATTTTTGAATACTTCCCATACATAGACTCATGAAAGTGGATAAGTACTCAATGTATTCAAACAACTAAGATATTTTCAAGCCTTTTTGAGGAAATCAGTTTATTGAATCTTACCTTTTGTACTGTATATTTCTTTAAAGAAAGGAAGAAAAGGCCTGAACACAACAGACAGAAGGAACCTGGGAAAAACTGTATCCAGTGAATCACCCGAATTTGCAGTGGGAGCAGCCATGAGGCAGAATTACTCACATAGTCCGGGAGCGACGCAGTGTCATCAGAACTGAATGGCCCCCTAAGCGATTGCGTGGCCTGCTCCAGGACTTTGTTGTGTTTCTTCGACAACAGGGCAAAAAGGCTGAAAAATAGGGTTACAAAATGGAAGATAAAAAGGAGTGTGAGATTTATGATTAAAACTATATCACCTGAACTATTCATACACAGTATGTTTTAATTTTACAGGATGGTGCAACAGGGCACTTAGTATTAGCAGCTGGGAGAATTCTACAACACTTCCCACAGAGTGCGATTGAAATTCTGTTCACTACTTGTGTAATATTATTGTGCCAAATGGTACCAAAATGCGAAAGAGAAACAAACTTTTTACAATCCCTGTAAGTTCCATATATTTTCAAAATAAATGTTCAGCATGTGTAAATGCACAAAATGATAACTGTGCTGTCTGAATGTACTGAAGTACATATTAATTCTGCAAAGAGGAGCAGTTGTGCATTGGCAGTCACCTGTCAGAAAGCAGAGTCAGTGGTATTATGTGGATAAAACTACAGCAGCAAGGCCGAAGTGCACATTTACCAATCATCCAAAAATGGGCTTTAACTTGCGAAGAGCACACAAGACCATAATATCTCACATCGAGTGAAATTACGACGTCAGCAAAGAGATTTAAAGTTTCTGCCGAAAGGCATCCAGCGCTCAAGCTCCACTCCTGATATTCGCAGAGGACAGCAGGAGTGGAGTTTGAGAGGCACAACATGTCTGTCAGTGGGGTGTTACCGTGTTCATTTTCAGACACTAAAATATCATTTCAGCTTCAGCTCCAAAATGTTTCATGTACAGAAGCAAGATAGGATAAAAAATAAACAACAGAATTAAGAATGAAGTAATTTATTTTTTTGTGGTGGTGGTGGTGGGGTAAGGAGGTGTACAAAGAGTTCAGGTTATCATGTAAGATCTTTAATATGACTCCTTTGCCCTGTGCTTTCACAAAAGACAATCTTAGTGCTAAATTCAGTGGAATAAATTAACACAAACTTAAAGCAGTATTTTGCTAATCAATCAAGAACGATAAACCAAATGATATATTATTGGTATGCTACCGTAAACACAGTTTCACATTAAGTCATGCAAAAGTGCAACACAGAGAAAAACAAATACACAAAATGAGGACAACAACAATGACAAAAAAGGTTTTCTTGTACTGCTCATTAAGTCTCTCAAGTGCCAATTTAATGTAACTGCTTCCCATTTCTTTTACAAGCATTGTTCTGCTTAAAATGCTTCAGGGACAGAAATTTTAAAAATCTATCCAATTTCATCTTCTAAATATTCCAATGTGTATCTTCACAGGACCAGGGTGGATATAAGGCTTTATGACCAACAGTTGTGTTCATGTGATTCTTAAGCAAGCTGCCATACATAACATGGCAAGAAACCTTTTTCACCATACAAATCAAATACATTAATGGAATGGACAAAAACTATCCTGTATGGAACTGGACCTGGACTGCTATAATATATTTTCAAGTTTTGGCAGTATGCATTCATATACTGTATATATATATATCAGCAGCCTTTCACTTAAACAACATCACAGATCAGGCTTCTTAGATCACAATATTTTTTCACAATTCTATCAAATGACCATGTTTCTCTAAAGTGATTATCAAGTCTACCTGCAACAGAGTAATTCACATCAAGCCATTAATCAGGCCACCTTACTGCAAAAGGCACTCTGCTGGCTGCAGTTTATGGCAAGAAATAAACATTTATAGGATCCAGCTGGTTGGCTTCAATGACAATTTATGCAGTGTGATAAGATGTCACTTTCAATAGGTACTAATATCTGCTACCTGTTTTTTTTCTTACCAGCATTACCTAATACATTTGTCTCTAAATTTGTTTTAATTAAAATTAACTCTACAAGTAAAATCACAACAACAAAATCAAATTCAACAAAGGATAACTATGCACCAGAAAAAGCATCTCCACATCTAAATGCCAGATTTTGCAGTAAATATAAAAGGTATTTTGTCAACTCTTCTTGGGGTTCACTACATCGATATTCTACATTTACTGGATTTCCCAAAATTTCTGTCATTCTTTACCATAGCTCACTATGCTTTACAAGACTTTCATCACAATTTTTGTCCTTTCACAGGAATGTATGTATAACAATATGTATAACAGTACATTTTTTAAAAAGATAGAAAAAGTTTATTTATAAAATGTCCTTTAAATTCCTTGTTCTAATATTTTCAGTCCAAGCACTACACTAGCTTTTATTAGTAATACTTTTTTTTTACGTCAGCCTTCTCCAAAACAATTGTCTCTCAATTTTATGGCATACTCAAGAGTAATGTTGCCTCTGGATGTTAGGGAAATATTCCTACATAAGTTACATTTTTTTTATTTCAATTATTAAATCTTCAGCATCATCATAATAAGAATTTAACTTAGACTACTACAGCACCATTACACCATTACTACACCATTACAGCAATAAGCTCAGACAGGAGAGCATTACAACAATGTCTCTGAGGTCTGAGTTTATTATTTTCTTTCACTTTCAGAAAAGCCCATCCCCAAGTACAACTGCACACACTCACAGAGGTTAAATGTCAAGTTTAAACACTACTGACAGTTCCCCAGAACATTTGAAGTAAGGGGTACATATCTTGCAAGCCGGCAAACACACATAAGAACAGAAAGTTTGCTATTGAGAGAAGGCCATTTGGCCCATTTAGCTTGTTTGGTTGTTCAGAGCTAATTGTTTCATGGATGTCGGCTAGGAGATTCTTAAAAGAAATTGATCTATTAGACTCAACAGCATAGCAGGGTAGCTTTTCATTGACTGTCACAACCCTTTATGTCAAATATTGCCAGATGTTTTCCACTTAAAAAAGTACTTCCCCTTTGCTTCCACTGGTTCTATTTCCATGGTTCTATTTGTATACTTGAATCAAGTCTGAAGTCCCCTTATAGTTTTCTCAAGGCAAAAAGGATTTTTTACCTGTCAGTGTAAGACAGTCAGTACGAGTTCAGGATTGTACATAGTCACGCTGTACTGAACATCACCATCCCTTGATTTAAATTCTACACTTTTAACTCTAAATACTAACATTTTTCCTTCTTTAGTTCTTCTTCAAATTTAAATTGATATGTTAACACAGATACTTATGTTTACTTATGTAGCACCCTCACGTTCAGTGTTATCCATTTAAAACTGTAGTTTTATGTTTTTGCTACCTGCAAGAATTGGTTGCACACTTAAATTTTAAAATATTTTTCAATTTCCTTTGCAGCTTCTAGAACATTTGCTAATCACATATTTCTGTAATAATCATCAGACTTGACAAGTTTACAAACAATGGCAGAATCCATATTAATGACACAAATTAGGAAGAGCATTTGTCCTAGTACAGATCCCTTAAATGAAATCACTCCAATTTAAGCATTTATTCCTTATATGTACCCTTTGTTTTTTATCCATTAGCCAGTTATCAATCCAAACACTATTGGACTATTATACTTGAATGGCTACCATCATTGATTTGAAAATTAAGCTTTTATGAGGGACTGTATGAAAGCCATGTAATAAAACATTTATTTCAGTCAATGGTTACTACCCTCTGTATTGAGTGAATGCTGGAAGTGGAATGCTGTTAATGGTTTATGAACAACATTAATTTGTTAAAAACAAAAGTAAATATCACTCTGCAACAAGCTAATATAGAGAGCTATTCTTCACAACTTAACCTACAGCGGTCAGGATTCCTCCCGTTGAGCTAAATTTCTGATTTAACTGCGAGATTTCCTGGAATCTGGGCAGTGCAACACGCACAACTAATCAAACGGTCAGATAAAGAAGGATGGAAATACGGAGCTGGATAAACTGAAGTCAGAATGGAATATCAGACCAGTCCAATCAATACTGCAATACCGCAATACTGCAAGTTTATCTTTGCAAGAAATCATGGATAAAAACATCAACTAGAAACAAAAAGAGAAGTACTCATTTGCAATGAGCAGAGAAGTTCTCAATTATAAAAAACGAATCCTCCAATGGGATACATTTTATTCAATCACTTTTATTGAATCACTATGATGATAATAATAAGTTGTAGGTTTTGTTAGTATCATATTTATAAATAATGCATTAATAATTAGAAAGCATGAAAAAGAGAAGCACAGGGCCGTAGATCTACTGTAAGTGCTAACTGAGAAGATGCACTGTGTTGATTCTTCTAGGCTTCAGGTGAAGTCTTCAGACTTCTTTTTTGTGGGGGAGCTCTTAAAAATGTAATCTCTGAAGTGCTGCCTGCAGATAATTAAATTTGATGGCTAACTACAATGAAAATTCAACTATGAACATATACTTCCAGAAAGCCCCCTTCATTTTTCATTTCACTTAAACATTTATCAAAGATTGTGGTTTTTCTCTTAAAAATGAAATTAGCTTAATTGTCAACCTTTTTCTATACTTAATGAAGCACAGGGTTCAGTGTTCAACCTCAATGACAGAGTCCCGAACTCTGTCTAGTTCTGTGTATTTATTCTGAAGAGCACCTGGAATGGGCATGGTCATAAACTGACTCCAGGTGCTCCATGCGTACGGGTGATATGTTTCTGCAGCAGCCGGAGTAGTGAAAGAGATTGCATGATGACATAACCAGATGTCGCGACACAGCTAGTTTGCTCTGCAAAGGCAGCAAGCATGGGAAGCAATACAATAACTAGGAGGTAATGGATTTCAATTTTCTACACCTTTCACACTCAAAAAAGCAAATTCCTCCTTTCTTTGGCACTGTAATGCCACTGATTTGAAAGTCAGAGTAGATGTGATTCAACACTACCATAAAGGTTTTCATTTTAACAGATTGCAATACATTTATTATAGAAAAAAAAAGTAAAATAAAGGAAAAGTGGTTAGGAAAGGCTTATAGGGAATGACTGCGATGAAATAAGTAAATGTACTATGAAAATCCATCTCTGAAAAGCCAAGATGGGAACTCAAGTCAGCAACAGAAAGGCAAATAATTGTGTGGCGAGGACTACTTTATCTATGTAAGAAATAATCATACAGATTAAAAAAAATTGTGTTGTGGAATAAAAAAACTA